ATCCACATGAACTGAGGGAATGGGATCACGTGTACAAACTCGAGCGGAACATAAGTGTACAAACTCCAGCGGAACAAAAGATTATTAATGCTGTACATGAAATTATTGTATTACATTGCCTATACTGTGTACAAAGAGTTATTGATTTTTATTATTTTTATTTCTAGAATGCCCCCCCAAGTGTCCTTGGAGAGCGCTCTTTGGGTGGCTTTGCAACAGGATTAGGCGAGGACCGCTTGGCTCCCCAAGGAGCTGTGTGTTTTAATTTCCCAGTCTCCGAAGGGTGGAAGGCTGAGAAAACCTTGAGCTGGCTTTTTATCTTTTTCTTTCTCTTTGCAAAAATTGCATAGAGTTTTACAGTATATTAAATTGTTGGTCCTACAATAAGACCAGTGGGACGTGGTGGCGCTGTGGGCTAAACCGCAAAAGCCTGTGCTGCAGGGTCAGAAGACCAAGCAGTGGTAAGATTAAATCCACGCGATGGAGTGAGCGCCCGTCGCTTGTCCCAGCTCCCGCCAACCTAGCGGTTCGAAAGCATGCAAATACAAGTAGATCAATAGGGACCACCTCGGTGGGAAGGTAACAGCGTTCGGTGTCTAAGTCGCACTGGCCATGTGACCATGGAAAGATTGTCTTCGGACAAAAACGCTGGCTCCATGGCTTGGAAACGGGGATGAGCACCGCCTCCTAGAGTCGAACACGACTGGACAAAAATTGTCAAGGGGAACCTTTACCTTTACCTTACAATAAGACCAACAAGGAATAGGAACTTTCTCTGAGCACTAACCTTCTGCTTTGAGAAGGGCCAGCTGGTCTGCTCTCCAGGCAGGGACCATGTTAGGACCTGCTCACCTTCAGGATGATGGAGACATATCTCAGCTCTTCAGGGTCCCTCTTTCCTCTGAGATTAGGGGCAGGACAGGGCTGATTCCCACCCATTTTGCAAGAGAGGAGGGAGAAGAATACATAGTTGATTTATTTTGAATGAGCGACTGATATAAAACAGAGATAAAGCAGGAGGATGCCCAGCAGTTCTCAATCAGTAATCGGAATGGCTCACATTAAAATACTGTATAGTAGTCTTTAAGGTGCCACATGTTTCTGGATTTCTTGTTTTATTTTGTTTTTCTTTTCTTTCTTTAGATATTTGCCTGATGTGCTTGCACAGACTAAAATGGCTACCTCTTCTAAAGCTACAACCCTGCTCTTGCGTCCTTATTTGACGTCCAGTGGGAGGTTTTTCATGTAATACAGCATGTATCATATTTGGGATGAGCAAGTGTATGAGCCATGTTAATAAAAGTCAGGTGAGTGGGTTACGTGACACAGGAAGGGTTAGGAAAAACAAGTACACAATTGGAGCTAACATACGTAAAGAGTGAAGCACAGAAAAACAATTAAACAGGCTGAAATCCCACGTTACCCAACAGGAGGAAATTAGCATGAATATAGTTGCCTGCGGCATTGTACTAGTCCCCCTCTATTCAGCACTGGTGAGGCCTCACCTTGAGTATTGTGTCTCAGTTCTGGAGACCACACTTCAAGAAGGATGATGACAAATTGGAACAAGTCCAGATGAGGGCAACAAGGATGATCAGGGGGCTGGAAACCAAGCCCTAGGAGGAAAGGCTGAAAGAACTGGGCATATTTAGTCTTGAGAAAAGAAGACTGAGGGGTGACATGACAGCAATTTTCAAATACAGTATTTGAAAGGCTGTCCTACAGAGGAGGGGCAAGATCTGTTCTCGATCATCCCAGACTGCAGGACCTGAAACAATGGGTTCAAGTTAAAGGAAGCCTGATTTCGGTTGAATATCAGGAAAAACCTCCTGTTAGAGCAGTATGACAGTGGAACCAGTTACCTCAGGAGTTGGTGAGTGCTCCAGCACTGGAGGCATCGAAGAAAAACCTAGATACGTAATCACCCGTCAAATATGCTTTGAATGTATTCCCGTGTTGAGCAGGTGGTTGGACTTGGTAGCCTTGTAGGCCCCTTGCAACTTCACTTTTCTGTGATTCTATGATCGTGGTTTATGTTTTAAGTTTGGCAATAAACTCCACATCTTGTGCGCCAGTCCACTTGGCCACCTAGAAAATGTCTGTACATTGAATGTCTGGAAATATAATAGCAACCCAGCATGCTTATGTATGAAACCCTGTTTTGTTCTTAAGCAATGACTCTCTTTTCTTTCTGCCACTAAGGGGTTTAACCATTTTTTTCTGTCTCTGAAACAGTTTTATGTCAGTTATTTTGCTACCCACTCCTCCAGATGTTATATGGAGTTCTCTCCTCAGATGATTTTAACAGACTACATGATTCTTCTTTTTACCACTAACAGTCCCATATCTTCACGTCAAGCTTTTGAGCACATAATTTGGTAAGTAAATATTGTAGCTTCTTTTTATTCTATCCCACTTTTTGCTATGCACCTACACAAAACTCAACACATTTCACAACCAGTAAAAATGCCTGAAGGTTTGTTTCTGTTTCTCTTTCTTTCCGGCAGATCCAAACCCCCTGTTGGTTCATTAAGCCAACATCACTAAATGCTCTTACAGGATCTTTCTCCTACTTTTCCTAGTTAAGGTTTTGTTAGTTTTATCAGTACTACATGTTTCTTACAGTTTTTATTGTATTTGGGAAGGTATTCGGCACTTAAACGTTTAATGGAAGCTGGGAGAAAATGACATGCAACTAGTTATGTTTTTAATTTAAAAAAACTTGAGTAGACACCTCACATACACACACACCGGGTTCAGAGGCAGGGCATGGTAAGAACAAGCACAAAGAACCCCCAGCAGCTGCGGTGCTATGCGGTTGTGCTTTCCTGCTCCTCTCCCAATGCCATTGCCGCAGTGTGTGCCATGAGTGGTGGTGTCATGCTTTGACCTTGCTCTCCCGGAGCTGGCATATAAAGCCCTCAGTGGTTTGGGACTTCAGTACCTGTCCAAACTTCTCTCCAAAAAACCACTGCTCATTCCACCTGGTCATTTGAGTTTTGTTGTTTGGTTTTGGAAGGTGGAGTGGGTAATATGATTTCTTTTTGTACGGCTGCCCAAAGTAGTAGATTTTCACTAAAGAGGGAAGTATTTAAAAATATAATAAATACAACAAACCACCATTTCTACAGAGCTCAGAGGTCCAAAAACTTGGAGAACCAAGAAAACGTTTTTAATAAGAATCTCAGTTGTTCCTGCAGAGTTTGTAACTTTTGGAAGGTGGAGTGGGTAATATGATTTCTTTTTGTACGGCTGCCCAAAGTAGTAGATTTTCACTAAAGAGGGAAGTATTTAAAAATATAATAAATACAACAAACCACCATTTCTACAGAGCTCAGAGGTCCAAAAACTTGGAGAACCAAGAAAACGTTTTTAATAAGAATCTCAGTTGTTCCTGCAGAGTTTGTAACTTCTGGGATCTGTGACTTAGTAGTCAACCCTTGACTTACGAACAGCCCTACATACGGACTTTTCAATTTACGAACAGCTCCGTTGGCAAAAATTGGCATCGACTTGCGAATGGAGCTCGACCTACGAACGAGGTCGAGGCTCCGTTTGCAAGTCAATGCCATTTTTTGCGAACAGAGCAATTCGTCACCTTCGGAGTTCTCAAAGGGCCTTCCTCCCGACATGAGAGGAAGCCCTTTGA